TCCGTTAGGACAGTATCTGTGAGTTGTAGGCTCTCTGTGAGCCTCCTTACAAGATGTCCTGAGCATGGAGTGTAGTTAGGCCTCCTCTCGTTTAGAGAGTCGTCATGCTGAGGCCTCCGCTCCTAGAGCTCGGCTAATTACTGCCAAAGCTCCGCTAGGACAGCGTCGGTGAGTTGTAGGCTCTATGTGCGCCTCCTTACAAGATGTCCTGAGCATGGAGTGTAGTTAGGCCTCCTCTCGTTTAGAGAGTCGTCATGCTGGGGCCTCCGCTCCTAGAGCTCGGCTATTTACTGTGAGCATCGTCAGGTCTCCTCTCGCTACAGAGGGTTATTTATTGAGGCCTCCGCTCATGAGAGCTCCGCTAGGACAGGATCTGTGAGTTGTAGGCTCTATGTGAGCCTCCTTACAAGATGTCCTGAGTGTGGGGTTTAGTTAGGCTTCCTCTCGTTTAGAGAGTCGTCATGTTGAGGCCTCCGCTCCTAGAGCTTGGCCATTTACTGTGAGTGTCGTCAGGCCTCCTCTCGCTACAGAGAGTTATTTATTGAGTCCTCCGCTCGCGAGAGCTCCTCTAGGACAGGATCTGTGAGTTGTAGGCTCAATGTGAGCCTCCTTACAAGATGTCCTGAGCGTGGGGTGTTAGTTAGGCCTCCTCATGTTGAGGTCTCCGCTCCTAGAGCTCGACTAGGCGGTAGGGTAGTATGCTAGGTTGTTAGGCTTTGTTGGAGCCCCCTTGGCTACTGACCTTATATGGAGTGTGCTAGGCCACCTCTCACTTTGAGAAGTGTTGTATTTAGGCTTCCACTCTGCAGAGCTTCACGGGCCATTTAGCTAAACTGAGCGTTAGGCTCTCTGTGAGCCTCTTTGGCCTCCGCTCCTTAGAAGTTCTGGTCTATGGTTCCGTTGCTGGTGCAGGGGTGAGGACTCCTTGAGTCTTGTCTTGGCTCAGCCAATAAGGCACTCATCCCTTCAGCATGGCGGCGTTGGTATACCGTTCCCCTAGCGCCCTCTAGAGGACACAGCGTAGAGTTCCCTTTCGAAAGGGAACGTCTCAGGTTACGCATGTAACCATGGTTCCCTGAGAATAGGGAACGAGATGCTGCGTCCCTTGACCATGCTTCAGGCATCCCTGCATGCATCTCCTTCAGACAAGAAGTGGATGACGTAATTCACAGGTGCCCTTTTATACTTTCGGCCACACCAGTTATGACGTCATGGGTTGCCGCCTGCCAATGTCAAGTTCATTGTCATGTTTAGACTCATGCTTCAGACACCGGTCATGCAGAAGGCGTTCCCCTAGCGCCCTCTAGAGGATGCAGCGTATCGTTCCCTATTCTCAGGGAGCCATGGTTACATGCGTAACCTGAGACTTTTCTGAACCCAATGTTTAAAAAATGTACAAATACAATGAAAATAGCAGTATCGGTACTCTGTATCGGCTAGTACCAAAAATAAAAGTATCGGTATCGTCCGAGTACTGGAAAAAGTGGTATCAGTGCATCCCTAGTGTTTTATGTCATTTCTGTGGTGTATTATGTTGTTTCTGTGGTGTTCATGTTGTTTAATGTTATCTCTTTAGTGTTTTATGATGTTTCTATTGTGTTTTATGTTGTGTGTGTGTGTGTAGTGTTTTCTGATGTTTATGTGGTGTTTTATGTTGTGTGTGTGGTGATTTCTGATGTTCATGTGGTGTTTTATGTTGTGTGTGTGGTGTTTTATGTTGTTTCTGTGGTGTTTTCAGATGTTTCTGTGGTGTTTTATGTTGTTTTATGTTGTCTGTTTTTTCTGATGTTTATGTTGTTTGTGTGGTGTTTTATGTTGTGTGTGTGGTGCTTTATGCTGTTTGTGTGGTGTTTACTGATGTTTCTGTGGTGTTTTATATTGTCTCTGTAGTGTTTTGTTGTTTGTGTGGTGTTTTATGTTTTTTTTGTGGTGTTTACTGGTGTTTCTGTGGTGCTTTATGTTGTTTTATGTTGTCTGTTTTTTTTCTGATGTTTCTGTGGTGTTTTATGTTGTTTGTGTGGTGTTTTATGTTGTGTGTGTGGTGCTTTATGCTGTGTGTGTGGTGTTTACTGATGTTTGTGTGGTGTTTTATGTTGTTTGTGTGGTGTTTAGGGATGTTTGTGTGGTGTTTTATGTTGTGTGTGTGTGGTGTTTACTGATGTTTCTGTGCTGTTTTATGATGTTTGTGGTGTTTTATGTTGTTTGTGTAGTGTTTTATGTTGTCTCTGTTGTATTTTCTGATGTTTGTGTGGTGTTTTATGTTGTTTGTGTGGTGTTTAGGGATGTTTGTGTGGTGTTTTATGTTGTGTGTGTGTGGTGTTTACTGATGTTTCTGTGCTGTTTTATGATGTTTGTGGTGTTTTATGTTGTTTGTGTAGTGTTTTATGTTGTCTCTGTTGTATTTTCTGATGTTTGTGTGGTGTTTTATGTTGTGTGTGTGGTGATTTCTGATGTTCATGTGGTGTTTTATGTTGTGTGTGTGGTGTTTTATGTTGTTTCTGTGGTGTTTTCAGATGTTTCTGTGGTGTTTTATGTTGTTTTATGTTGTCTGTTTTTTCTGATGTTTATGTTGTTTGTGTGGTGTTTTATGTTGTGTGTGTGGTGATTTCTGATGTTCATGTGGTGTTTTATGTTGTGTGTGTGGTGTTTTATGTTGTTTCTGTGGTGTTTTATGTTGTCTCTGTGGTGTTTTATGATGTTTGTGTGGTGTTTTATGTTGTTTGTGTGTGTTCTATGTGTGTGTGTGGTGTTTACTGATTTTTCTGTGGTATTTTCTGATGTTTGTGTGGTGTTTTATGTTGTTTGTGTGGTGTTTAGGGATGTTTGTGTGGTGTTTTATGTTGTGTGTGTGTGGTGTTTACTGATGTTTCTGTGCTGTTTTATGATGTTTGTGGTGTTTTATGTTGTTTGTGTAGTGTTTTATGTTGTCTCTGTTGTATTTTCTGATGTTTGTGTGGTGTTTTATGTTGTGTGTGTGGTGATTTATGTTGTCTTTGTGGTGTTTTATGATGTTTATGTGGTGTTTTACGTTGTTTGTGTGGTGTTTTATGGTGTGTGCGTGTGTGGTGTTTACTGATTTTTCTCTGGTATTTTCTGATGTTTGTGTGGTGTTTTATGTTGTTTCTGGGGTGTTTTATGTTGTCTCTGTGGTGTTTTATGTTGTTTGTGTGGGGTTTTATGTTGTCTTTGTGGTGTTTTATGATGTTTGTGTGGTGTTTTACGTTGTTTGTGTGGTGTTTTATGTTTGTGTGTGTTTTATGTGTGTGTGTGGTGTTTACTGATTTTTCTGTGGTATTTTCTGATGTTTGTGTGGTGTTTTATGTTGTGTGTGTGGTGTTTATGGATGTTTCTGTTGTATTTTCTGATGTTTGTGTGGTGTTTTATGTTGTCTTTGTGGTGTTTTATGATGTTTGTGTGGTGTTTTATGTTGTTTGTGTGGTGTTTACGGATGTTTCTGTTGTATTTTATGTTGTGTGTGTGGTGTTTTATGTTGTCTTTGTGGTGTTTTATGATGTTTGTGTGGTGTTTTACGTTGTTTGTGTGGTGTTTTATGGTGTGTGTGTGTGTGTGTGTGTGTGGTGTTTACTGATTTTTCTGTGGTATTTTCTGATGTTTGTGTGGTGTTTTATGTTGTGTGTGTGGTGTTTTATGTTGTGTGTGTGGTGTTTTATGATGTTTCTGCTGTGTTTTATGTTGTTTGTGTGGTGTTTTATGTTGTCTCTGAGGTGTTTTATGATGTTTCTGTGGTGTTTTATGTTGTGCGTGTGGTGTTTTATGTTGTTTGTGTGGTGTTTTATGTTGTCTGTGTTGTATTTTCTGATATTTGGTCTGTGTGTGTGTGTGTGTGTGTGTGTGGTGTTTTATGTTGTGTGTGTGGTGTTATATGTTGTTTGTGTGGTGTTATATGTTGTTTGTGTGGTGTTATATGTTGTTTGTTTCTGTGGTGTTTTATGTTGTTTGTGTGGTGTTTTATGTTGTGTGTGTGGTGTTTTATGTTGTGTGTGTGGTGTTTTATGTTGTCTCTGGTGTTTTATGATGTTTCTGTGGTGTTTTATGATGTTTGTGGTGTTTTATGTTGTGTGTGTGGTATTTTCTGTTGTTTGTGTGGTGTTTTATGTTGTCTCTGTGGTGTTTTATGATGTTTCTGTGGTGTTTTATGTTGTTTCTGTTGTATTTTCTAATGTTTATGTTGTGTGTATGGTGTTTTATGGTGTGTGTGTGTGTGTGTGTGTGTGTGTGGTGTTTTATGTTGTGTGTGTGGTGTTTTATGTTGTTCGTGTGGTGTTTACTGATGTTTCTGTGGTGTTTTATGATGTTTGTGTGGTGTTTCATGTTATTTGTGTGGTGTTTTCTGATGTTTGTGTAGTGTTTTCTGATGGTGGTGTTTTTTTGTATGTCTCCAGGTCTCTGACGACGCTGGGCTGTGTGATTTCTGCACTCGCTGATCAGTCTGCAGGAAAAGGCAAGAGCAAGTTTGTGCCATACAGAGACTCAGTGCTGACGTGGCTGCTGAAGGTGAGAATGATCATCAGAGTTCATTGAACACTGTTTAAATGTCTAGGGGAATCAAACTCTTTTCCTCTGCTGTTACAGGACAATCTGGGTGGCAACAGTAAGACGGCCATGATCGCCACCATCAGCCCGGCCGCTGATAACTATGAGGAGACGCTGTCGACGCTGCGCTACGCCGACCGAGCCAAGAGAATCGTCAACCACGCCGTGGTGAATGAGGATCCCAATGCCCGCATCATCAGAGAACTGCGGGAGGAAGTGGAGAAGCTGAAGGTGCAGCTCTCGCAGGCTGAGGTGAGCAGGGAATTATGGGAGATTATCTGAACCAGATTCTGCGACTGAACAAACATCACACCATGTTTCTCTAATATAGGGGTTTTCAATCTTTTAGATTCCCCAGATATGATCATCGTCATGCAAGCGACCCCCATCCTAATCTGAATATTTTCATGTATAAAGGCCAATTTATATTGTGAAAAATTAATAATATAATAGTGTAAAATATTACTTAGAAAATATAGTTTCTATTGCATGTTTTTCTACTCACTACAGTACTATACTGCTAGCTGCATTATTTATTTATTTAAATGTCTTTTTTTTATTATTTTAAATCTAATTTTATTCTTTATTTGTTGTAATTCTATTTTTATTTAGTTTAGTTTTAGTTAACCATAAATAAAATAAGAACAATTCAAATTAATTAAATCATTAAAGTCTAATTAAAATAAAGAAATAATTTAAAAATAAAAACAATGAAGATAAAACATTTACTATACTTAAATTAAATCATAAAAAATGTCAAAATTAAAATAAATAAATAATTTAAAAATAAAAACTGTTTGTAAAATAAAACACTGTGTACTGTACAGTAGTTAGTTGCATTTTTATTTATTTAAATGTTATTTTTAAATGCTTTAAATATCATTTTTATTATTTATTTTAATCAAATTTTAATTTTTTAAATAAAATAATATGTTTGTTTTTTAATCTTTGTTTTACATCTTAAATTTTTGTTAAATTTCATTAATTATTTATTCAGTTTTACATTTTTTGCTCTCTTTTTCTAAACTTTTCCATTGACTCCCTACGATTCTCTTGAAAACCCCTGCTCTAATAAGCATAAAATTATACAACACAAACAAAAATTTAAATTCTATTCATTTTTTTGTTGTTATTTTGTACAAATTAAATGTGTATTTATAATAGAAATTTCTCCCACATTCTCCACTAACTTTTCCATTGAACTTGTCACCATATGTTCTGGTATTGCTTGTATGCTAAGGATACAAGTGAAACAGCATTTGAATTTATCCCAAAAAATATATACCTAGGAAGGCATCATGCTACATGTCTTTGATCCCTTAAAATCCTCACTATGTAGGCAGCTTCACTAGGTTTTAGATTAGAACTTGTGTATTTTTTCCATCTAGTTGCCAAGGCATTACTTCTCATTTTTGTTTAGTTTAAGTACTAAAATAATTCAAACTAAAACTGAAATAGAAGATTTAAATTAAATAAAAGCCATATAGATATATTAAAATCAAATTTATTAATATTAAAATCAATATGGGAACTATAAAAATAAAAAATAATTCGAAATATTAATTACAACTATAGTAGTTTATCACTGATTCTAAAATGGGGAGCTGTTAATGATAATGTTTGTTATGTTGTGTCGGTCAGTCTCTGAAGTCTCCTGAGCTGCAGGAGAAACTCCAGGAGTCTGAGAAACTCGTTCAGGAGATGACCGTCACCTGGGAAGAGAAACTCAGGAAAACTGAGGAGATCGCACAGGTGACACACACACACACACACACACACTCGCACACACACACACACACTCACTCAGTCGTCTCACTGTGCTTGGTCTCTGCAGGACCGTCAGAAGCAACTGGAGATCATGGGAATCTCTCTGGAGTCGTCAGGGATCAAGGTCGGAGAGGACAAGTGCTTCCTGGTCAACCTGAACGCCGATCCGGCTCTCAATGAACTGCTGGTTTACTACCTGAAGGTACAGTGATCACACACTGAGACGTCAGCAGAGGTTTGCATCACTGTCACTGTTACTCATTCATTCCCAGTGGACGGCTGCAAGGATTGCTGATGCTTTTTTGTTTTTTGATGCATCTCAAGGGACACTTAGGAATAGTTTTTTTGTCTATTTTTCGAATGGACAAATTAGTAGAAACTGTTTATTTAATTTATGTTTTAAAATGTAGTTAAAATAATTAAAGGGTTAGTTCACCAAAAAATGAAAAGTCTGTCATTAATTACTCTCATATTTAATCAAAAATATCTTAATTTGTGTTCTGAAGATGAAGGTCTTAATGGGTTTGGAACGACATGAGGGTGAGTAAATAATGACAGAATTTTCATTTTGGGGTGAACTAACCCTTTAAACAATAAATTAATAAATACTATCTTGTTTTTTTAAAACATGAATGAAGCAGTTTTAAATATTTTATTTATTTTTCGTATACTCACTTCAGTACTGTACTTTTTATTTAAATGTATACTTCATTATTTATTTAAATCTAACTGTATTATTTATTTAATATTTCAAAATAAATAAATAATTATATACAATATATTTATATTTATTTATTTAAATATTATTTTATTATTTATATATATACTTTATTATAAAATAAAAATATAATAATTATATATATATTTACATTATTTATTTATTTATTTTATATATAATAATACATATTACTTTATTTAATATGTGTATAGTATAGAACATTATTTATATATAATTATAAATATGTATTTTATTTTTATCTTTATGTTAGTTATTTATTATTTATAATAAAATTATTTCTTTATTTTTCTCATTTTTGTAGTTGTTGTAGTTTTATTTAGCTACATTTTAAAACATTAAATATACAGTTTTTAAAAAAAATATACCTATTAATTTGTCCATTTAAAAAGTAATTTATTTATTTCCATTTTTATGTTTGAATGATTAAATTACTAACTTTTTCCTGTATTTTCCTGTAAGTGTCACTCCATACTCCACGCCATGCACGGCTACAATCAAAATGTATTTGCAAACAAGCTGAAATTGCATTACGGATGAATCATATCTGGAAGTTGCAGACATAGAAAATCCAGCTTAAAGGTTGTTTTCAGTGTTTTCAGTGAGTTGTTAAACCATCTGACAAATTCAGCCTGATTCATCCGATTCAGTTTATTCTTTCTGACTCAAAAGAACGATTCACAAATCTTGCATCACTAGGTCAAAGTACATCCGTCAGCGCCGTCGTATGAGCTGCGTTTGCTCTGATAGAGACCTGTGAAAACACCACCAACAACAGGCCTTTAGCGGTGTTTGTGTAACTCAGCCCACATGCAGGAGAACTCTGCAGTGCCTCCTCTGAGATGTTTGCTCTGGTTCAGGATCACACGCGTGTGGGAGCCGACACGTCTCAGGACATCCAGCTGTTCGGCATCGGGATCCAGTCTGAACACTGTGTGCTGGAAGTCACGTCTGACGGAGACGTCACGCTCACGCCGGCAGACAACGCCAGGTAACACAAACCTGTGTTGTTTATTAGCATGAAAATAAATAATATAATTTACAGTTAAACCAATGTATGCAAAATGAAACGGAAACAATAATAATGACATAAAAAATACAATACGTTTTAAAGTTTCAGGTGAAAGAAAAAAAAAACATTAAAATAATAATAATTTTTTTCAAACCTTTTTTGATATATATTAATATATTAAATATATATATCTTTGTGTTTAATATCTATGGATGTTTAATAAACTTTTACATTACATAAAGCTTTGCAAATGACATAATTCACATTACACACTTTAACCACTTATAATTCTAAATAATTATCATTAAGGTAATAAGTATCATTAATATTCTATTTTAGGATTTATTAATATTTTATTCTTATATTTTCTGTTTACATTTTAGTTAGTTTTAAAAAAAACATTAAAATAATAATAATTTTTTTCAAACCTTTTTTGATATATATTAATATATTAAATATATATATCTTTGTGTTTAATATCTATGGATGTTTAATAAACTTTTACATTACATAAAGCTTTGCAAATGACATAATTCACATTACACACTTTAACCACTTATAATTCTAAATAATTATCATTAAGGTAATAAGTATCATTAATATTCTATTTTAGGATTTATTAATATTTTATTCTTATATTTTCTGTTTGCATTTTAGTTAGTTTTAGTAAACTTGTTTTTTTGTCATTTTTAAAAAATATATTTTTCAAATATATATAAACTAGACTATATAATTATTTAATTATATAATTAAAATTATTAAAAATAATTTTAAACTAAACTAATTTAATAATTTGAGTACTTTTGTAATTAGTAAAAATTGGAAATGTTGGCAACTAACTTAAAAATATTTTATTTTTATTTCAATTATTGTAAATGTTTTTGTTTTAGTTGATAACAACACTGATAATTCTGAATATCTCTGAATATAAAAATATATGTTTACCTAATATCTTTATTTATATTTATATCATTTTTTATATTTATATTAATATCATCTTTATGAATTTTTAGTACTTCAAGTTAAGACTGAGAAACTAACTAAACAATAATATGTTTTTATGTTTTATTTAAGTTGTTGTAAATGTTTTTAGTTTTAGTTAACAATATCTTTATTCGTTTTTATTTCAGTTTTATTAATTTTAGTACTTCAACTTAAACTAAATAAAAATGAGAACTGTTGCCTTGGCAACTAACAAAAAAAATAATAAGTTTTGATATTTATTTCAGTTATTGTAAATGTTTTTATTTTAAATGTTGCAAGTTTAAAATATATAGTATTTTAGATGCAGTTCTTGTGTCTGATTTGTGTAAGATATTGTAATCCTGTGCTGTTTGACGATCGCAGGACGTGTGTGAACGGGACGATGGTTTACTCCAGGGTTCAGCTGTGGCACGGAGATCGTATTCTGTGGGGAAACAACCACTTCTTCAGGTGAGCAGCAGGTTGACATGCGCAGCGTCTCGTCTCGAGCTCAGACTCATCCGAGCGAATGTCGTCCTCAGAATCAATCTGCCGAAGCGCAAGCGGCACGGGCGACTGAAGGAGCCGGAGCGAGACTCTCCTCGCCAAAGCTTGTCCGAGGCCGACGCGGAGACGGCGAGCCAGGCCTCGTCCGAACAGGACTACAGCTACGAGTTCGCACAGATGGAGGTCATGATGAAAGCGCTGGGGAGCAACGGTACACGCCTGACCTCTGACCTCTGACACCACACTGCATGATAGAGCCTTCACTGCACAATACACATAATAATATATAATACATTGCTATCATTATATGGAATATAATGCATTACATTGCTATCGTTATATGGAATATAATGCATTACATTGCTATCATTATATGGAATATAATATATTACATTGCTATCATTATATGGAATATAATACATTACATTACTATACATCCCTATAACTAGATACATTTCTCATTGCTGATTATTATGAAAATGCAAAAAAATACAAAATAAAAATAAAAAAAAAACAAACAAAAAATTAAATATATAATATATTAAAATAAACAATTATATAAATGTACCTGATTATCATACCACTACATCCCCTATAACAAGATAAATTTAGCTTCATTTATTCTCATTGCTGATTATTTTGAAAAAACCAAACAAATAAAAAATTTAAAATATGATATAATAAAATAAATAAATAATTATATAAATTTACCTGATTATCATATCTCTACATTCCCTATAACCAGATAAATGTATTCCCATTGCTTATTATGAAAATACAATAAAAATACATAAGAATTCAATTTTAATTATTCATTCATTATTTAAATTTACCTGATTATTACATCTATACATCCCTTTAACGAGACAAATTTACCTGCTTGTATTTTCATCGCTGATTATTATGAAAATGCAATAAAAATAAATAATAATTTATTTGTAATAATTAATTAATGAAATAATTAAATTTACCTGATTATCACATCTATACATCCTCATCACAACACAAATTTGCCTGCTTGTATTCACATTGCTGATTGTTATGAAAATGCAATAAATTAAATAATAGTTTAGTTTTAATAAATCATTTTGAAAGAAATAAAAAAAGATTTAAATGAACCTGATTATCTTGTTCAAAGCACAAACTAGTCAAAAACAAGTGAAAAAAATCTATAAATGCAACACTTTTATTTTCTGTATATATTATTTGAAAATAAACCCTAATATCTTATGCAATTTTGCATTTCGGGAAATTTTATCTTGTTATAAAGATGTTTACATAACAAGAAAACAAGATGAATAGAAAAGATCATGATTTTTGTTCTTTTTTGTAACGCTGTTACATAAAAACTTTAAAAGTGTTTCTCTTCTAGAGAAAATCAACCATTAGCAGTGCTATTTTATGTTTTTTTTTAGTATTTTAATGATATTATTTATTCATATTCTGAATTAGCTTTTACTTTGGATATTTGTAGGATTTATTTTAATTTTTAGTAATTTTGTTATATGCTTTTGTCATTTTTTTTTTTCAGTATATCTTTAATTATATTTTGAGCTTTTACTTTGTTTTTACAATTTCCATTTTAATTTTACATTTACATATGTGACCCTGGAGCTCAAAAGCAGTCTTAAGTCGCTGGGGTATATTTGTAGCAATAGCCAAAAATACATTGTATGGGTCAAAATTATTGATTTTTATGCCAAAAATCATTAGGATATTAAATAAAGATCATGTTCCATGAAGATATTTAGTAAATTTCCTACTGTAAATGCATTAAAACTTAATTGTTGATTAGTAATATGCGTTGCTAAGAACTTAATTTGGACAACTTTAAAGATGATTTTCTCAATATTTAGATTTTTTTGCACCCTCAGATTCCAGATTTTCAAATAGTTGTATCTCAGCCAAATATTGTCCTAGGTGTATACATCTCAATTTCAAAAAATTGACCCTTATGACTGGTTTTGTGCTCCAGGGTCACATTTATTCACTTTGCAGACGCTTTTATCCAAAGAGACTTACAAATGGGGAATACATAAAGCGATTCATCTTAAAGAGGCAAACAGACACAGGAAGTGCTCAGAATACCAAGTTTCAAGCATTGTTCAAATAAGAACAAGCTAGACGGGGAAGGATTAAAAAAAAGAGAATTTTCTTTAGCGCAAGTTTTATTAATTTAGTTTTTTGAATATTGCTTTAATTTTTTTTTTTTTCAGATTTAGAAAATTTATTTATTTTTTTTACTTTTTCACATTTTTAATTTTCATTTCAGTGTCTTTTAGACATACATTTTACGTCTAATATTTATATTTGATTTTATTTCAGCTTTATTTCAGTGAACATTAGCACAACATTGTCGTGATGTATTTTAGTTTTAGTTGTATTATAGCGTTCTAGACGCGTCTCCTCGTCTCAGACCCCATGCAGAAGGCGGTGCATGCTCTGGAGAAGCAGTATGTGGAGGAGAAGCGTCTGGCACTGGAGGAGCAGCGGCTGATGTACGAGCGCGAGCTCCAGTCTCTGCGGCAGCAGCTCTCGCCGGAGAAAGCGTCTCAGCACCAGCGCTGCAGCAGCTTCCCCACACACACCACACACACCAAACTGCGTCTGTGGAGCGACGAGAGGTCAGAACACACACACACCAACCTGCTCATCTCTAACACACATTAACTATTTAGTGTTTTTTTGCAGTGCATTAAAGGAGACTTTTAATGCCCCTTTTTACAATATGTAATATAAGTCTCAGGTGTCCCCAGAATGTGTCTGTGACGTTTCAGCTCAAAATACTCCACAGATCATTTATTATATCATTTTGAAAATGCCTATTTTGAGTGGAAGCAGAAACACGCTGTTTTTCGTGCCTGTCTCTTTAAATGCAAATGAGCTGCTGCTCCCCGCCCCCTTTTCCAGAATAGACTGCGCCATTACAGCTCGTGCCTGATATAAAACATCTGTTTTGGTTCTGATTATCATGTTTATCGCGCTGAAATCATGCGTTTTAAACCATATGAGTTTAAACTTCTGATATACGGTTTTCTGAGTGCACACCCACAGAAAGCGGCTGTCACCGCATGTGAGTACTAAACTAAGTTCTCATTCACACACAAGTTTACGTTAAAAACACACATGAGTTACAAAAACTGTCGGTTATGTCTGTGAAGGTAAACAACTGGGAAAGTAATCGCATGTTTATTTTAGATCTAAATAGTGTTCTGTCGTCTGTGCAGACAAAGACAGAACAGTTAGCGTGTTTTGCTCAAGCTTTCGCCATGGCATTAGAACTACTACACCATTGTCGCTTGCAAAATTTCTGTCGTCTGTGCAGACAAAGACAGAACAGTTAGCGTGTTTTGCTCAAGCTTTCGCCATGGCATTAGAACTAGTACACCGTTGTCGCTTGCGAAAACAAAATGACGGCGCCGTGGGTGGAAACTTACAGATTAAGGGGCGGTAATATTATAATGAGATCCCTTTGCAATGTCACTAGGGGAGCGAAATCAGACGCGCTCGATTTTTCAGAGACGCTTGCAGAAAAAGGCTTGAAACGTGTGTGTGTTTCAGGGACGAGCTGTTTCGTCAGAGTCTGTCTCGGCTGCGTGAGCAGGTGGTCCGAGCGAACGCTCTGGTGCGAGAGGCTAACTTTCTGTCCGAGGAGATGCACAAACTCACCGACTATCAGGTCACGCTGCAGATCCCAGCCGCCAACCTCAGCGCAAACCGCAAGGTGAGAAACGCTCACGTTTACATGCATTGATTCAGCAGACGCTTTTATCCAGGAGAATCACAAGATATTTGTCATCAGAACCAACAATACAGAGACCCAAGTATAAACTAGATTAGCATACAAGCTAGAACAGAAGGGATTTTTGCTCGTGTATTTATTTACTTCTTCATTTGTCATACTTATTAATCAACCTATATTTATTAGATATCTATATTTTTTAGTCATTATTTATTTATTCATTTACTCATTTATTCATTAGTTCATTTCTTTGTGTACTCATTTATTCATATATTTATTCATTTACTTCATGATTTATGTACTCATTTATTTATTGATTTATTAAAATTTGTTGGCTCATTTATTTACTTATTCATCTATTTGCTTGATTAATTGTTTATCTGTTTATATATGTATTACTTTGTTATTTATTAATTTAATCATTACTTATTTATTCACTCATTTCTTTATCTATTTACATATGTATTTATTTCATGTATTTGTTTGTTTAGTTATTTTTTTGTTTGTTTATGTATTTGCTCATTTATTTATTTATTGACTAATTCATTCATTCGTTTTTTTTACTTGTTTTATCTATTTATTCCTTTGTTTATTTATTCATTATAAATTTACTTGCTCATTTATTTATTTATATTTATCATTTATTTGTTTGTTTGTTTATTTATTTATTTTTTATTTATTTAATTATTCACAGGAGTAGGAGTTACATTAAGTGCTTTCATTTTTGGTTGTGCATTAGGTGTTTTCACCTAATTTGTAGTTGACTAACAGTGACAGCAGTCTAGTTATTTTAAATCAAATTTATAATGCTTTTATCATCATTATGCGTGCAGTTTTATGACCTCACATTAATTGAACGACAACATGGATTAAAAATTATGCAAAAGCAGTTTGACCACCTAAAAATATACATTTACATTTATGCATTTGGCAGACGCTTTTATCCAAAACGACTCACATTGCATTTATACATTCATGCATTGCTTGTTGAAAATGTGATTCTATAAATGCAAACCTTAAGTGCAGTTTATGGTCACTGTATTATATTTCCTCTGTAATATTACATTGCTGTAATTATTTTAATCCCAGCGTGGCACTATAGTCAGTGAACCGGCCATCCAGGTGCGACGCAAAATGAAGGGAACGCAGGTGTGGACCATCGAGAAACTAGAGAACAAACTAGTGGACATGAGAGACTATTACAGAGACTGGAGGGAAGGAACACAGGAGGAGGTGAGTGAAAGAAAACAATGCTTTTATTCATCAAGGATGCATTAAACTGATCAAAAGTAACAGTAAAGACATTTATTATGTTGCAATATATTTCTGTTTCTAATAAATGCTGTTCTTTTGAACTTTCTGTTCATCAAAGAATCAGAAATGTGTCTTTAGCAGCAAATCAGCATATTAGCATGATTTCTGAAGATCATGTGACGCTGAAGACTGGAGTAATGATGCTGAAAATTCAGCTTTGATCACAGAAATAAATTACAGTTTACAATATATTCACATAGAAAAGAGTTATTTTAAATTGTAATAATATTTCACAATTTTACTGTCTTTTTTATTAAATAGATGCAGTCTTATTTATTTATATGTTTAGTTATTTACTAGTTATTTATTCACCCGCTTAGTTGTTTTTTTACTTATTTGTTTATTTATATACTCAGTTTTATTTGTTTGTTTATTTACTCATTTATTTTTAACTTTTTTTAATCATTTATTTACGTATTTGTTTGTTTATTTATTTATATGTTTGGTTATTTACTCATGTTTTCACACATTTATTTATCTGTTTGTTTATTTGCTTGTTTATTTATTTTTTTATTTATTTATATATAAATATATATACTCATTTATGTTTTTACTTATTTATTATTTTATTTATCTATTTACTCATTTATTTGTTTGTTTATTTACTCATTTCTTTGGTTATTTTCTTGACCTTGTCGGCAGATGTTTGTTCTTGTTTTGATCATAAACTCACTTCAGTTTGATGAATTTCTTTGTGTCTCCTTCCATTTTCTTTACTTGGTCTTAGAAAAGTCTAAAAACGTCTCAAATGTGCTCTGTTTTGGTTGATTTGTTTGTGTTTTCCTGCGTTTCTCGCAGGTGAACTGTCTGCACAGTAAAGCGGGCGATCCGTTCTATGAAGCGCAGGAGAATCACAATCTCATCGGCGTGGCAAATGTCTTCCTGGAGTGTCTGTTTCATGACGTGAAGCTGCAGTACGCTGTTCCCATCATCAGCCAGCAGGGGGAGGTGAGCGGCCGTCTGTGTGGTAAACAGGCTGTTATGGTGTGTTCACACCATAGACTGTATAAAAGCATGGACGTAGTGTCCGTGATGTCACCCGTAGGTTCCTGAAGAGCGTTTTTGAAGCTCAAAGTGGGCGGAGCCGGCTGTCGCCATCTTGGCAGCGCGTCACTCCCGGAAAATCGAAAATGGGCAAAAAGGCGGGAGCTGGTTGCTGAAACCACGCCCACCTAGCTCGACGGTGGTGCAGCAGCGGCCACCTGTCTCTCAAGTGGCCACGCCCTTAATTATGCAGAACTTTAAGGCTTAATATAATTTAAATGGATGACTTATAAAAAAAATTCACCCCCCTCACAGTTGTCATGAAGGGCAAAATTAGCTATATAGACCAAAATCATTTTTTGAACCAGGCTGTAAACATGTTTTTTTCTGCTGTAAAGTTGGGTATTTTAACATGGGGAGTCTATGGGATTGACTCCCTTTTGGAGCCAGCCTCTAGCGGCCAGTTGATGAATTACAGTTTAAGTCACTTCCGTGTTGGCTTCACGAGAGAGAGCGGGAGGTTGCTGCTTGGTTCACACCAAATGCGAAGCGAATATGCGCATCGCGTCACTCGCTCTAGATTAGGGATGGCCGATACTTATTTTGTTTTCGATACGATACCGATACTTTTAAAAACTAGTATCGGCGATACATGTTTTTTTTCTGCTGTAAAGTTGGGCATTTTAACATGGGGAGTCTATGGGATTGAGTCCCTTTTGCAGCCATCCTCTAGCGGCCAGTTGATGAATTACAGTTGAAGTCACTTCCGTGTTGGCTTCACGAGAGAGAGCGGGAGGTTGCTGCTTGGTTCACACCAAATGCGAAGCGAATATGCGCATCGCGTCACTCGCTCTAGATTAGGGATGGCCGATACTTATTTTGTTTTCGATACGATACCGATACTTTTAAAAACTAGTATCGGCGATACCGATACTTCTAAACTAAACTTTTAAATGATGAAATTTATTAAAAATGACCAAATTGCCAAATAAGTCACGTGATTTCAGTAAACGTGGCTTCGTTACGTCATAACTGTTTCGAAACGTTTCGAATTGTCAATGGTTCATGCAAGCGGCGAACCATTGAACCAGCGCCTATGGTTTTTACCTGATCTCGGATCAGTTATATCAATATGTAGATTTTAACGAGACATTTGTGTAATTAAAAGGATGAGAAGTAGTTAATAGTCTCTTTCTGGCCTCTATATACAAGCTCTCCATAAAACAAAACAAAACAAGCCTTGCAAATTAATATAAAATATTTTAAGAGCCACATATTATACAGGCACTTCATATTTAATGTTATTTTATCATTTTTAATAAAACATTTGCAGTGGGGTTTTTCTTTGGGGAGGGGTTGTTGAATTTACACACTTTTGACCTGCAGGCATCACTAGTGTGTGGTGATTCGAGCGCTTCGAAACAGTGAATCATTTTGCAAAGCAATTGGTTCAATTGATTCGAAGCTTCGAAAAGGTTCGTTCCTGACATCACTAGTGTCAATAAGCTCTTTGCTGATTGGCTTGCGTGAGAACGCGTCATGCGAATTTTCCGCTCGAGTTGAGAACTTGCGCTGAAGAAGCGATTCGTTTCTTATTTAATTGGTTCCACAGTGTTTGCTGATTTATACTTTATTTAAACATTGTGTAATTTATTTATTTTATTTGACATCATGGTGTATGCCATTCCTCCGAGCTTCTTATTCGTTTTTGCTAATAAACGTTCTATGTTTCTTATTTATTTGGTTTCACAGTGTTTGCTGATTTTCAGTTTTGTATACCTATTAAACTTTGTGTAAGTTATTTGTTATTTTATATTAGGCATAGCCTATAGCATGGTGTATATTTATTCGTTTTATTAATAAAAGTTATCTGATTTATATACACTACCAGTCAAAAGTTTGGGATCAGAATGATTTTTAA